GAATCCAAACATTTATTTCAGCTCAACCGTGTAAGTATCGATCCTGTTAGTGAAGATACAAAATCTGAAGAATTTGGTAGATGATGTATGACAGAATTAGTAAGCTGCTTAGACTCAGCTGAAGAACAGAAGGCCAAAAGAGTGAAACGTTTATCTTCATTCAGATATGCAAACGATTTAACACTGAAAATGTTTAAAGAAATGCCTACTGAAAAAATAACCATCTTTCTTCCAGTCTCTGCTAAGACTCACTCATGCTTTCCTTCATGCAATAAGCCCATTGACTTAAGAGAGCATGTTGCAAGGGCACGGAAAGCAATTCTGGTTTCATTGCAAGTATATGCATAACCTGTTGCAAAAAAAAGAAGATTTGAAAAGGCAACCAAATTTTGACAAAAAAAGATAACTCCATTATATTATGAAACCACGAAAGAAAATCCATCCATGAATGCTACGACAGCTACCTGACAGCCACAGCTTCTTATCTGAAATACACAGTGGATAATTCACAGCCATTCACTCCGGAGCCCTTACAACAACAAAAACAAACTATGTTTTTGAATTTAATTATACGAATCTTTAAAAGTGCAAATTTAAAAGCAACACCAGTCATGAAACATAAGCTCAAGCATCTCTTTCCTTCCAAAAGCTGGGAACGTTCTGTGCAATGTGCACATTTTAAGACGCCACGCGTGTAATCACAACTACTCTCTCCAACCTGAAGTTTCTTCTTGAGGCATCTCAAGAGTTTGAGATGGCACTCTCCAGGCAGAAAAGCCATTCCTGAAACATGTTGATCTGCACAGCCAATATGTGGAGAAAAGACAATTATAATAAACCATTCAAGTGTAGAAACTAATCTCTTCTCAAATTACGATTTGGTTGTGCTCCCAACATACAGAAAGCAAGCAACTGACACACATTAGTGGCGGCAAAACTGGAAACTTCTCTTACTCTTGATGATAATCCTTCACGTTTGTGCACTTTTCATTCTCTTGCTTTCCCTGTTTTGCCAATAAAATGCAATAAAACTGCAGGAAAAAGGAGGTAGCAATATCATGTTGTCCAAAGACAACACTACTATTTTTTTCCCCATTATCTTAAACCTAAAGAGAGCCTTGGGGGTTTGTTAGAACAGTTGGTAAACTCTACACTACTTTGTTTAGCTCTTATTTGGACTGTTTAATTTAGCTCTTATTTGGTCCTAGTTGGCTTTTCTCAAACCATTTTACTTAAAGGCCAATGGCAGTCTCAGCCTGATGTCTAACATCAGAAATGTTTAGAGCATGTAGTGAGATAACAGAACAAAACAATACTATCTTTATATTAACTGCTATTTAATTAGGGTTTTCTTCTTGTGCTTTCAGGTCACGGGGTACAATAACTACACTTACGTTATCTGGTTCAACAACATTTCCACCAAATGTAAGTTTCAGGATGTTTTCCCTCACGTTCTCGGCACAGTCCATGGGAGATCACCTGCTTACTGTAAAACACAGTACTTCTTATAATCGGACTCAAAATCTTCGTCCATGCTGCTCGTGTCTGCCATCTTTTTGCCGTCTATCTTTGGCAGAAATTGTGCATAGTCTACCCCCTGCTGCTCATAGAAAAGAATGTAGGCAGAGTCAGTGTCGATTTCATCGGGATGCAATTCCTGAGAAAGAGAAAGGCATGCTCTGAAATATGCAGGGGGGCAATCGCTTTACTGTCACTGAACTTAAAATACACCCAATTGCCCTAGAAAGCATATTTTTAACTGGCTATTTACAACAAGAGGAAATCCATTTTCCTTCTCCCTTATTAGAGTTATCAGGCTCCATTATTTACTTGAAAAATGTGACAAATTTTATAGTGAGAACTGGAAATACTTAGAAATATCGGAACTTAATTATTCAGTAATTGAATACAAAACTGCCAGCATCATGAAGAAGTATTCTTGGCCTTCCATTTTTAGTAAGCTTTCCATCAGTGTACAAAATAAGCATCTTTCCTTAACCATGGCAGCAGCTGATGAACAGATGTTAACTTGGAGAAAAAAAATCTCGGTTAATTTTCATAGTAATCTGATGGGACTTTCGAGATGCTCCTGATTGCAAAGAGCAGCCCTCACCAAATGTAAATTTCTTTGGCTCTAGGTAACCAAGACAAAGAGAAATGATTTACCTTACAGCTACTGTCATTGTAGCAGTACCACTTGTTGTTCGGGTTTTTGGCATACGTGACATAGTGACCCCCTCCCATAATTCCTGAATGGCACTGAGGAAGATGAAAAACAGAAGAAATTCTGGGTCAAACATCAACCCCCAGAATTCACAGAATAAATGATTCACAAATTCATCTTTAAGTGAGTGACAATAGTTCAAGACAATCTATACACCTAGAGCTAACTTTATACACCCAAGCAGAAAAACCGTTGTGCAGAGATACACTTTTCAGTTGTACTCAGTTTATGACACATTTATTTTGCTGACAATGGCTCTACTTTGTTCTCCTCCTCAATAGACCCCTACTTTCTGTGATGAAAACGACAGAGTAAATGACTTATTCAAACCAATGCCACATGAAGATAGTTTACCTGCATAAAAGAAGTCAACTTACCGAAATTGCATATAGATTGTAAATAGGGTTAACACATACTTCTTCTCTTTGGTCATCTGTAATATCATCCTCGCTGTGGTTATCAATTTGACCATTGATGCTGCCATTACTATACGCATTCTGCTCACAGATGTATCCGTTGGCTAGAGTCATCTCATTGTCCTGAGCAGTATAGAGTTCACTCTGGCTACCACTCAAAATACGCCCTCTAGTAAGAGCATCACCTTGATCGGAAGTAAATCTCTGTTCCTGGTCAGTACCGTTCTCTTTACTTGCATCCAGATTTTCTTTGCTACTTGACAGTTTGTTTTTGCCCAGTTGTGGCAGCCGCAGACGCCCTTTACCCCTTCCTAAAGTCCTTGGGCTACTATTTGGGCTACTGTTTTTACTTGAAGGACAGCTGGTTCCACTTTTCCTCCCCAAGGATGGAGATGCTAAAACAGAAAAATGTGGACTACTAAGATAAGGTAGATTTTTTTGGAGTGGTTTTTTTGGAATAACCAAACATTGCAAAACACTGTTTCACTACAACTAATGAGCAGTATATAAAGTAAAACTGTCTTTGCACATACATACACCTATAAACTGAAATTTAACTGATTGAAGAAACACATTCCTCACCACTTACAAAAGCAGACAGATCCAATATCTGTTGTGACTGATTAAATTTCCAGGGCAAAACTCAATAGAAATGAGTGTTTCAAAGTAAAGTGTAGCACTTTGGCCAATGAAACATTAAGATTTTGTTCATAATACCATTCCTCCCCCCCAGATATCAGTACTGACTGGAATTTTCCCCACTTATTACCTACCTTTGATATTATTCAAGACAGTAGTGTTAAGGGAGGATGGACTTCTGTTCAGTACATCTCCTTCTCCCGGTGTGTAAGTGATCTGCAGATCTGTTTTCTTGGCCTCCCCCTGGAGAGTCCGTGGTTCCAGGTCAACCTGGAGTGTTAGCTGCTTCCTTTGAAAATGACTTGGATCCCTTTGTACCAAAAAGGCACTTGGGTCAAAGCTTTCTCTGGGAAATTTAACAATTTTCTGAGACTTTATCCAGCGGCCATTTACGAACTGAAATCTTTTCAGGTGAATGATCTAAGAAGAAACACATTAGACAAAATTATAGGAGGACAATTACATCACAGTGAGTAATTCCACTGTTTAAAACCAGTGTTTTTACAAAACATAAATTTTATCACATGCTAGTAAAAACCACTAAGCATTGCTGCATCTGACAATTTGCATTTTGGGATCCAGTGGTAATGTGAGGAACTAATAATTTCATGGGGAAATGATGAAAAAGGTTGATACAATTCAATGATCAGCACTGTGGGTTTTGAGTAACTGACCAAATTTGAAAAGCAACAAATGCAGGGCTTTCACAACTAGACAGAAGATCATGCTACTGGAAACACTGCCTAAGCATGAATTTTATGTCAGAACAGATGACACTGAATGCAAAACACCACCATTTTCTGCAGTCTATCAGCTAAAAAGATTCAAAAGGATTTGACGTTTGTTTTAGTTGCCTGCATTACAGAAACGCATGATGCAAAGTCAATGCCCCTCATGAGACTGGGAACAAAAGCTAATCTTATTCAGAGGAAGGGGACATACTGAGCAATTTGTGATCAATGCACTTTGGTTTAATTGTGGAAGAGGAAAATTATGCAAGATCATACCAAAATAGGGGGAAGTCTCCAAAGGTCCAGTTTTTTGGTGGCCAAACAATGGGTCTTGCATTTGGAACAGTAGTACATCTCATCCTCCCCCAGTTCTTCCTCACTGGTGAAGGCTCTAAGACAGCTATCCAGATTGATAGGCTCTGCTTGAGCTCGTCGACTTTGTTCAACACTTTCATGTTCTTCTACAATCTAAAGTGAGATAAAACTCTATCTGACTTGGAAACACATACAAACTGCTCAGAGGAAGGCTCTACTCATAGTATCATAAAAATAACATGAAATAGTTACTTAAGATTAAAGATAAAAACTAGATGCCCTGAGTTTTAGCATTTTCTTTCAATTAAGAAAGGCAGATGTACAAATACCACATTGTTCTTATTCTTGGGTTCTGCTTACTAAAATTATCCATCAAGCACAAGTTTATAGATTGAACACAAGTTTGAACAGATTCTAGATTATTTCTGTTATAGGCTTACCTTTAGATATGCTTTGTTGACTCAAAGAGGAAAGAGGTTTACTCACATGCATAACTGGTTCATAGCACTGGTGTACTTAGAAAATGTATCAAATTAACATACTTTGTAATATATCGTCAAGGCTAGATTAAAAGCATCTCACAACAGCAAATACATTGCTGTGGTTTCTTAAAAGCTTCCCTTCCACATTATGGTCACACAAGAGGTATAATATTAAGACATTCATTTATCCAGAATATACTGTTCGACGGTTACTGACTTCAGTTTAACAGAAAATGGACAAAAGAAGCACCAAATGAAACAAAACCAAAAATGGTGAAATGGGTTGCGCTTCAGAGCTATGAACAAATAGCAAAGGGTTTACATGGCAATTTTACCCGTTCTTGCGACGTCTGGTAGCGCAGATGGAGAGCTGTTGGATCCCAGTCTACAGCAATATAAGCATTCCCAACACAAGCTCTATCTTCTGTGCACTCAATTTTACAGCCACGGCAAAATCTAAATCAAGAAGTTTCAATAGTTATTGGACAGTTTATATACTACAAGTTTTACTTACTTCACACTCTTAACTCTGCTCCTTATTCTATCATCAAAGTCTCAAGCCTTGCTTTCAGTGTAAAAGAGAGGCAGTTCTATAAACTGATCAGTGTCAGTTTGCTATTTTACTGCAAAACTTTAACAGAGATGAGAAATGGAAGCTGTCTACCTGTGTATAATGCTGGCAAAGCTTACCTATGACACAAAAGAACTACATGATAGCTAATGTAAAGCTATGAGGATATGGTCTGAATACCTTCCAGCAAGGGTCTGGAATTCTCATTAGTATGTTTTTATTTAGGGAAAATTCCAAGCCTGCTTCCAGAGTATATTTCTTATTGTATAGTTTAGTTGTTACTCTTCAAATGGCACAGGAACTAGTGAGGGTATATGATCTGCATCTAAAAGTTTGGGTTTGTATGGAATGCCCACAAATCTTCCAAATATGCACAGATATGTGCCTGCATACATACACACATGCACACAGAATATTGTAAGGGGTTAAGAGGTTTTGATACTCTCATGTCTGTCTCCTAATTTAAAGTTTCTGTGTCAGCAGAGCTTTCAGCTCTCCAAGTCATAAAAAGCTACTGCCATGTGAGCTTTGGTTAAATTAGATTCCAGATTCTTGTTGTTTAGTATCACCTCTGAAATGTATCACAAATCCATTACCATAAATCACCTTTCTGCTGGAGCGATCCCCTTTCTTAAATCTAAAAGGGACAATTTACCTGTACCAAGGACACCAAGCACAAGAATTTCCATCCTTCTGAACTACCCTTAGGGTGAATGGGTACTGGTACCCCATGCTATCATCACTGAAACAGAAGAGAACACAACATGAAACACGAGCACTCATTCAGACTGCCAAACCCCTTCCTTCACTGTGCTTGCTATGTTTACCCCCCCAATTATAATTTGTATTAATGAAGCTATTAAAACATGAGTCGTGTTTATATTGCCTAAATTTGACAGATAGAATTAATTATCAGTCACTGGATGAGAATGCATCAACCAATTTGTGTAAAGCCAACTCCTGAATGCAGCTACAGGTTATACTACATTTAACTGCAAATGCAGTTAAAGGATTAAAAGTTATTATTAATGATTGTCATTATTATAAGAAGTCAAAACTAATAAAGATGAAGCTGAATATAGTTTTAAACCTTGTAAGCAAGTCCAAGCCACTGTATTATGTCATCCAAGGCAAAGACTGAGATGCCGAACTCACCAGTCTTGTGCATGATTACTGGCTTCCTGAGGCGGGAGAGGGCTGGCAAGCCTGGAAACCTGAATCCACACGGCATCATAGAGGTCTCTCTTCCGTGTATGAACTGTACAAGGAACAATTAGTGGCATTCCAAAGAGACTGGGACGATTCTTCTGAGATGAAAGAAAATATAATTCTGTCCGCATCTGCATATGTGAAATGAAAGAATGACTCAGATGGAAGTATGCAGTAACTCACGTTACCATCATTGTGAGGATGCTGACCTGGTTACTTAGTTCAGGCTTTGGCAATTAAAATAAACCATATATTCTATTAAAAGCACTTTATTTCAACCATTTTTTCCCCCCAATATGATTACTGCAAATTTTGCACACTGATTTGGAAACCTTTTTGTGTTTTATGATACTATGGCAATGTTATTTAGGCATTAGACCACATCAAACATAAATCTGTATTTCAACCACGTATGTTACTTTTTATGTGTATTTCTTACTTTTCCTACCACATGGTAATAGTGTAATGCAGACATGCACCTCACGATGCTAATACCTGTCCCAAAATGACCTCTACACTAGGCATGCTAATGCCTGCCAGAGAAAGAATACTTTTATGTCTAAAGGGGGCACTTGTACAGAATTTATTCCAAGCAGACAAACTAGCCTTCATGCTACATCTCCCATTTATAAGAAAGATTTAACAAACTGACTTAACGACACAGGTACAGCCAACAGCTACTGCCCTGCATAAGATTTATACAACTAACCCTTTCTTTTGGTAAGATTTTGACAATGACAAGCGTGGATTCCTGGAATGGCTTCCACAAAGAACTTTTCCTAGTTTTTAAGCTGTGTATGTAGCAGCTTGTAATGGCTCGGAAGTCTTACACCAATCACCTGTGAGAGTCTGCAAAATCTGAATCAAGGTAACAGTGATAACAGTGGTTAGTGGCCAGTACTTGAGTGAATAAAGTAAAGAAGCCCCCTACAAACACACAGTGGAAAGGGAAGTTAAAGACCTCTTGGGCAATATTATCTACCAGGCTCTAAACGTCAGACTTTCAAGTGTGGACACAGTGCACACTTGATGTGTGACTACCTGAGGTGTTCAGTCATCCAGCTTTGACATTTAGAGTTCAACTTTACAGACACTTTTATTAAAAGTAGTTCATGCCAACAGAATGACCCAGGAATGTACTATATATCTCGACGCTGTTTCCATGTAAGAAATAAAGACTTCCACAGAATGGATAAGAAATGCTTTCCTAGTAGCTCCTTTAATTAGAACTTTTTTCTGCTCAAAGAGTCTGGAACATTTAATCAGGGAGTTAGCGAACGCCCAAGTATGCATCTCAGCATTAAAGAACTGGGAAGCATGCCAGTACTCAGGGAAGAAAAATACACCAACATTAGACATTATGATTTAAATTCACAAGAGTTGTGTTTCCATAGAACTGGGTGCTCACTTACGAGGGAAATGTATTCATGTTCTCTCTTAAGAAATAAAGATTAATTCATCATATGGGCATTAAGAAAAAGCCTCGCTGGCTTTCCTTCAAAGGGTGTTACGCCAGCAATTTGTAACAAATGAATTAGCTACTAACCATTTACTAACCAATAGCTACTCACCATTTTTCTGTGGACTGCAATGATATACCCTGTACATGGACTATCAGAAAGCACGGGCACGTGACCATTGAGAGTCCAGTTGGCAAGGTTGCGCTCGGTTCCACATGGCACTACAGTATTTGGCATTCCATTTGGAATTAGTGTTGGTTTAGGAATGTCCCCATTCATCATTATGTTGGGTGCTCCATTAGCTGAGGGTCCAGTTGAGACATCTGTAGATAGACAATTACATTCTCAATTATCTGCAGTGACCAGAACTGACCATGGTGAATGCTCCAACCCTGGAGGAGTTCAAAGCCAGGCTGGACAGAGCCTTGGGTGACATAGTTTAGTGTGTGGTGTCCCTGCTCATGGCAGCGGGGTTGGAACTAGATGATCTTAAGGTCCTTTCCAACCCTAACTATTCTATGATTCTATGATTCTATGTGATTTTTATTCTTTCAATTCTGTTCAATGCATTTCATGAAATATCTTCTACTCTCCTTCAGACCAACATCCAACCTTTTATTTGCCTAGAACTCCGCAAAATCAGAGCATGAAGAGCACAGAGTACCCAAGGTGTTTATAACCCACAAACGAAACCGCAGACAATAAAACCAGAACCAAAACTGGATACCATGCTTCCAATTTTTCACATGTTCAGCCTTAGAGCCAATCCACAAGTAAGAAAATACTTCACGTTGTTTCTTGTGTCTTTAACTAAAATAAGCATATAGTGATCTTCAGACCACTATCCTGGGCACGAGTCTAAAAAGGATGTAGCTAATGAGACTGCTCATAGCTTCTTTATGGATTAGAATCCTTAATTTATTCGTCTTGTCTTTAATCCTGGTTACTTAGAAATAAGAAGTAAGGTTTTCTCCTGAATTTCTGCAGTACCTGAGCACAGTGCATTTAAAATGAACAGGAAAATGAGTATGTTTTCTTTTACCTGTCTGCACAGGACTTGATGCTGATGTAGGCGATCCTGGAATTGGTATTTCAAATGCACACAAAAACCCACTCACTGATAACCGGACTTTCTGGTTGTCTTGAGGAAAGTTCTTCAGTAAGAAAGAGTAAGTCAGTCAGACATGTATATATTTCTATCTGTGACTCTGAACATGTTTTGTTCTTTTGAAAACATCTATCAGCTCAGCTCTCCCCTCCCATCTGCTTTCTTATGCCTTTCTAGAAGGAAAAGAGGAAGCCAACAAGGAGACCCTTTGCAGATCTCTGCAGCAAGACATGAGAGAGTTATGAATGGCTCTCTAACCAGACTGACAGCACCTAGTTTCAAGCAGTTTTAATCCTATTCAATGACAGGAAAAAAACCCCTATATACACATACACACTACAGAACTAAGCCAGTCATTACTCATGCCTCTGATGTGTTGACAGTGCTTAAACTCATCACAGCACTCTAACTTGAGATTTATTACCACAAGATGATTTTATCCTTTTTTCCCTAAAAATATCATTAGTAATCAACTCAGTTAAACTTCTCCAAGCTTCTGCATTGCTATTAATTCTGTTTGCAACTGGTTTATTTTGGTTCAGCTTACTTTGATTTTAAACCTATTCAAAGCAAGCCAAATTACAGTTTAAGAACAAAATCAAAGTTCATCTAGAGATATAATGAAGCTGACTTTTCATTTATACTTTTAGTTAAATCATTCCACAGTTCTTGTAAGCAAAGCTTAATGTCAAAAAGAATGAAGAATTATGCCACTGTACACAAATAATGAAGAAAAATACCAAAAGTATGCTACAGCAATAACTACTTTCTTTTCTTCTTACCTTTATATTGGAGCTATGCACCTCTGCAAGTAGAATCTGTTCTGGTTTTAGCCCACAGAGTTCACTTAACTGCTTTTTCAAACCTGTATACTTTTCATCCATGTTTAATCTCAGGCCATATCGAACAGGAGTAGTACCATCTAATTTAATTACTTTAAAGGGCAAAAGAAACACACTGGTCAGCAAACCATGAAAGTTTTAATGAGAATAATACATTACAGCTACTTACTTATTAGAAAGCACTTTCTGCTCCTGCTTGAAGATATGATTTTTTTCTACCAGTCAATTACCAAGGTCTGCAGACAAATGTCAGAAAATCTCTTGCTGCATAGGCAGTAGTAAATGGTTTCAAAATTTGGTTTCACTTTTTTAATCATCTTTCCTTTTGCTTCTTTTCCAAAAATACGTGGGGTTCTCCATAGTATAGTTCATGACCAGTTAAGTATTTTTTGTTTTTACAGTCCCCCCAACCCTTCTTTTCGTCTCTAGGTAGATTTAGGACAACCACCACAACATAGTGAACAGAAGACTATTTCTCAGAATCTCCATTTTCCATGTTTCTGTATTAAGTCCTGTAGTTAAGACTGAAAATGGGTTATCTCTGCTCTGTTTTTAAAGGTTTACTTTAGTTTAACTGTATTCCAATGCAAATTATTTTATTCTATTCTATTAAAATGGTTATACTATTTTCAAGTGCAAATACTAACATAAAATTTAGATGTTCTATAGGTGTCCTACATACAAAATGTTTATCTTGGCAATGACAAGTTTATAGGCAGTTAAACACTACTACTCACCTGTAATTTCTAAGTGCATGTAGCTATCCATTGGCAAAGGCAAAGATAAAAAATTAAAAGGGTCAAATCTAACACTTATATGTCCACAAGTTTTACATTTTACTTGTGACTTCAGCTGCCCATGAAATAAATCTACAACAATAGATCTGTTTCTTCTCAGATGGTTTTCCCAGGCCTAAAATGAAGCACAAAAACCCAATACAAAGTTAGAAACTGAAGATTATTCGCTTGAACTACAGGAAGTAGGATATGCTGGAAGACCTCCAAAGTTTCACTGGCCTATGGAAGTCAGATTATTTCCATAGAAGTTCTTTACCAATTTCTAAGAAATAGAAGTATTTAGTTTCAACATGAGTAAAGAAAAGTTATTTCAATTAACAAGTTATGACATAATGTAAAGTACTTCTGAAAGGATCATCAGGATCTTGAAGTATTTTGATACTTCGTAATTGAGTTGTTCAAAATGATTGTAAATTATCATCTTTATACCTTTATTATAGTATTTAAAACTCATTTTCAGCTTGAAGGTAAAACTGGCTCCTTAAATCACAGCTCTAACAAGTTACAAAGGATGGTATAGTCCTGACAGTATCGCACAGACAGCCTCATCAGCAGCATAGTACTATAAGAGGTGTGGGGGAAGCAAACAAATCCCAAACCCAACATTTTTAACCCATACCTCTGCTGCTACTTCCCAGTCTGGTCGACCATCACTGTCTTTCAGTTCAACATACGGCTTATCATGAACTCTGTTCAAATCCTCATGAAGACCATCCAAAAGAAAAGCCAAAAGCTCCTGTGAGTCTTGCTGTTGAAAGCCATTAAATCTTGGAGCATATTTTGCTATTGTCCACTGAAAAAAACCAAACCAAACCAAAACCCCAGAAAGCTATTTAACATCATGTAACAAAAGTTTTAACAATAGATCAGACTACTGCAGACAAGATGAGTGCTGTCTAGGAGCACAAATTCAATTGCCAAAAGTTCAAGGTAACACCCTATGATTTCAGAACAAAAGACCATTTACAGACAAATGCATCATCTTTTGTCCTGTAAAAGGGCTATAAAAGTCACATCTTATACCACAACCTCTGATTCATATCAGGTAACTCCTTCGATCTTACAACCACTGAATCACGGTTATATTCCAGAGAAAGCTGTTCAGGTCTTGAGCGCCAGGACTGATGAATCCCAGCCTCCTCCACGTGCACATCTTACCCCTGCACAGACCCTTCCTGAACACCTCCCCTGCAGTCCTTATGGACAAAGAAACAAATTCTGTGACCAGTTTGGAGTAAATTTGCAGTATCACTGACTGCCCAGGATACATGGTCATTGGCTTCGCAGCCAACTTCTAACGTGAAGTATGTCCAAGTTTCCTCTCCCTTCTCTAGAGGAGATAGAGTCCCACAACCATTACAATACAGGCAACATCAATTAAAAGTGCATTACAAGATTTCTGAAGAAATTCTTGCTTTCTGCCTTTAAATAGCACACATCACAGACCTACCCGCAGCTTTAATGGTGCTATATTCTTCTGAGTTCCACTCCACAGCTCCTGAACCAAATCCCCATAGCACTTGGCCATGTGTCCTTTCATTCCTATTGGATTTGTCCTAGAAATCATAAAGTAATTAATACCACACTAAAATTTAAACGAAGTTCAAGCATGGGGATAAATAAGGCTTCTTGTTGAACTGTTTCAACTCCACCAGAAACAAACATTACATTTTTATGTATCTAATCAAGAATCTGCTGTAGAGCTGATGGTTGATAACACTGAATTCTAAGGATTTATTCACACTACTTCTGAAAAGCTGAAACTCATTTTGAAGAAATGTTACAGCATTGAAAATGCCAATGGTCTCAAATAGAAAATTACCTGTTAAGTTCATAAAGATGTCTTCCTGAGATGAAATATCGTGTTAGAGGTTGCGTGTTACTGACACACTGGATACTGGAGTTCATGAAGCAAGTGTTACCCAGATTGCTTAATCCAGTAGCACCCTTTTCAGTAGGAACTGAGAAAAAGAAAACATCATTATAGCAATTGTGCAGATGTGAGAAATTCAAAAAGGTCTATCAGTGAAGTGACGAATATGACCTTTTCACAGTAACTAATTCAATTTAACCTGCTCCCCATTATGAGACTACAGCCACATAGATGCAACAAAAGACCAGCCTGTTCAAAATACCTGCTCTCTCAACTCCACTTAACAGAAACTGAAGCATTCTGTTTGATCTGATCCACTACAGCCATCAGTACAACCTATACAAGCTATTTTCAGCTAAATAATTATGGTACTGAAATTTCTGGATTAATTTGTTAAAATACTACCTTATTCCTTACCTTAAAAAAATCCTAGATAATAAACACAAAATACAGAATTTGCTAATTCATTTGCTACTGCTGCACCTGAACATCTACATATTTATCTGCCTACACATCCAACCCTCCCATATTTCCAGCATCTCAGTTAATAAAACAGAAAGAACAAACAAAGGAGCACAGGCATAAAGGACCTCTTCCAATGTTAAGAGCACGTATATTAAAAAGAACTGTTTCAACATAATATAGCCTCTTGGATTTTTCTTCTCATCATAATTCAATTACTATGCTGAAACACTTACCTTTATGTCTGTCTATTTTACTGCTGTTTGCTATAAAAGACATCTCTTCTGGCCAGCTCATGTCTTTGTTTCGAACTAGAAAGAGATATGGCATAAGGATTTGTTTAAATGGTTTGTTACTTACGCCAGAGAGCTCACACAGCTCAAGAGGCTGAACTCAAATTTTCTAATATTTAATATGTTGCTTATTTTTAGTTATTATTTTTGCTATTTTCATTTCAGTGTTTCCAATCATTATTGGAAATCGTTCTAATGCTGCCATCATCCCAACAAAGCCACTCATGTCTTTAGAAAGCAGCCCTGAGATTTCTTTCCTGTTGCATAATAAATTTTTCAGTACTTATTCTAATACTTAATAAGGATACCCCATTTAACAACTTGTACAGAAACAGTGTAAGACCCAGATTTCTATATGGCCTCTGTGAAGTAAGAACAACAGTAAAGTGGATTATGTACGTACTCTTCTGTTCCTCGTGTTAAAAAACTAGCCAAAAAGGTCAAACCTTTTTGGTTTGAAAACTCAGCTAATCTGTGCACCCTGATACCCCTGACAAAGGCTTAATGTGTTTGTGACAGACAGCACCGCGCCACAGCACATGGCAAGATGATGTGACACAAGAGACTGAAACAAGAAATGCTGGGACTGTTTACGATGCCTTTACACCACGACAAGAGTCCGTCAAGCAGTCAAGTCCAAATGCGTTAGGTTCTCTCCAGATGTGAAAATAGAAGCAGCTTGTAAGGAAAATCTCAGAAATGAACCCAAGCACTGACTGACACGTGCAGTTTTCTTCACCTTTTGCTTTGTAAAAATGTGCTCATGTAAATAACATAATCCGAACTCTTGTAAAATTAGTGCAAGAAGAATCAGGTAATGAAAAAGCCTCACACTGCTTTTGTTAAATCTGGTATTTTAGTTAATAAAGTGGGTTATTTTTTGTATTTCTCCCTGTATTTCTTTCAATACATACATATACAGACAGAGATCTATTTACACATACCCTTCCTTCCCAAAACAGTTCCAAGATTAAAATATTTGGGCACTAAGCCTATATATTGGTGTACTTTGGGCAATTACAGAAATGGGTACTACATACAATTTATTAACCATATATATATGCACATATAAAACTATAGTTTTTAGTGTGTAAATCAATTACAGGCCTTTTTTTATACCTTCTATTACTAAATGCTGCTCATCTTGAATTTTAAGATACTCCAGTCTGTGATCTTCATCATCCAGCAAAGTAAGATAGTTCTGCAGGAGAAAAAATACTTCATATAGTTACTGCTTCCAGATTTAAAATTCTCTGAGGATATTTTAATCTCAAAGTAGTGAAATTAAAAGAGTTTTAACAATTCCTTCACAAAAGTGAACACCGGTTTCCCAATCATGTTCATTAAATAAGGAGTTCACTGATCTCCAGAAGCATCTAGTTTAATGCTTTAATTTTATGTGGTGTTTCTGTAGAATGGAGAGAATTACAGGCATGATTCCAAGGAATACATTCTGCTTGTTTATTGTGATTTGTTCACAGACACATTTGAAAAGGATCCTGGATAGCTGCTGGCTTTTGTGCCAAGAGTAACCTACAGCATCATTCGTGTCAACGAGAGAATATATTTTTATTTCCATTTAAAACAGTTTCTATGAAACCTCATACCTTTTAGCCAATTGTTAAATACATGACAGGGTAATTAAATGTTTACCAGGCTAAGAGGAAAACAAGAGGTAAGTTTTCTGGGTCATTAACACCACTGCTTGGAGTGCACAAAAACCTCCAAAGAGCAAGCGGCAAGAGTTTTCCAACCTGGGCAATTAAACTGTAAAGCAAAGCTACGTCTGTATTTTCCCCCCCCGCACGTGTATTTAATAGCTTCTAGAAAAAAGGAAGATACACAGTATCCAATAGCTGATTAAAAAGCAAAGGAAAAAGGGCAGAAGACCGACGTTACCTCACTGTTGTATAACCAGAGGCGCATATCTTCTTCCTTTATACGTAACCTCTGGGAGAGATACTCGTGTATCTCTTTAATCGTCTGCATTCGACTAAAGCAGCCGGTGTAAGCCAACACTCTCTTTAAAGGAGCATTCGGTGAAGGTACATTACCTGGGTTCACAATCATAAGAAAAGAGCAAAAGGTAACATATATACCCATAGGCTAGCTGAAATCTGATCAGTGACAACTTATACACTACATATGCTAAAAGTACTTCTAGGTATGCCGTTCTACTGCTTTTTTTTATGGATAAAATGAGTTAGATTGGAAGCTATTTGTTACTAACCCTTTGAGACAACAAACATACTATCGCAAAGCAGATAAATTTACTTCCCTTCATACCAAAACCTATTAAAAAATTGCTCCCCTAAGGTTCTCATAGGAAATAATAATAATTCAGAAGAAGTTTTACAAGACGGGACTATTCTTTTTTTCTCTTCAGGACAGAGCATTAAATTTCAAGAGAATTTTCTTTTTGAGAGACCACTGTAAATAAAAAATGTCAAAAAAAAGACAATCTGACTATTCTTGGCAGCAGCATGACTTTGCTTCAGCTCTTCTATAGAGATGAATGCTGATCTGTGAAGATGAAATCAGCCTGGCAGCTTCACAATAGAAGTATTCTTAATAAGTAAATTCCTCTAAACATATTCTGTGATGATGCCAGGGATTTTCACCAGAACTGCTCAACAATCTCACGTTTGCAACACAGATTAATTCCATCAGTCAAGATTATTGCTCTTTTGTATAATACGAGCTCATCTTTAAATAGAAGATTTGCAAAAGAGATGAGGCCAACTTTACATTCTTTATTTGTTGAGCTTCCTTAGTTTTAACTTAGGAAGTTCCCCCCTACTCAGAGAGACAAGTCTATAAAATATTCATGAAAAGCTTTTATTATACAGCCAATCTTCAGTGGGCAACTGCATTACTTAAGTAACCAGAGAAGGGAGTGTTCTACTTTCACTGTCAAGAGATTAAGATAGAATAAATAGCACCATATGAAAAGATACAATATTCCATGCAATATAACAAGAGAGTAAAACTCTACTGTAATAAAGTCAGCAAAGCATCAGTTTTGCTTCAGTATACCAAGCAAAGTACTCCTTTTTCTAAAGAAAACATAAAAAGCATTTTCTGAGATTAGGCATCAGAGGATTAGTTGTAAGATTACAGCAAGAAAGCATATCTGAAACCCCAAAAAGATTAATCACTGATTGGACAAATAAATTAGTGCAGAGCAAAATTATTCCGAATCAAGATCAAATTTGGCACATGAAAAGATTCTTTTTTATTTGAATTTCAGCATTTTAGGATGTCCAAACAAAGCAGTTTCCATTTTATTAGGTCAAGAAGGAAAAATGAATTTGGGTAGCAGGCAGTTTCTGCAGCAGAACTCGATCAAGCAGGCAGCTGCATCTACACATCACGTTTTAGAGTCTACCAAAGCAGTGAAAAATGGAGCATCTGCATGAGATTTTTAAACAAAGGCTAACACTAGCAAGGCTAAAGGATTTAGTTTTCAGTAGTCAGGAAAGCCCATGGGCATGGGTTACTGTGGATGCACATGAATACCTGCGTGTATCCAAACGCACATGCATGTGAGTATCAGGGATTTCTTCAAACTTACTGTGCAAAGCAAGTATGCAACTGTGCATACAAACTGGTAACTGCAAACAATCCCTGCCACACTTTTCAGCTGAAACGTGAAGCTACAATCTAAAGACTATCCTTATATTGTACCATCTTTTTGGTGAACATTACCACAATTATGGCACATATATTTTAGTTGGACGTTTACAATTTCTACTGAATTGTCTTTCAAAACCTCACCAAATAGTAGTCTTCATATTCCACTATTCAATTGCTTTCTAAAGCTTATTAAATAATTTTGGGCATTAAAGCCTGGCTGTCCAAGTAACTCAGAACTAGTTGGCTGAACAGCACTCGTCAGGCCCCACCTGGAATACCATGTTCAGTTTTGGTCCTGGCCATACAGAAAAGACATGGACAGGCTGGAGAGGATCCAGAGAAGGGCCATAATGATGCAAGGACTGGGCAGTCATATGAGGAAAAGCTGAGTGAACTGGGTTTGTTCAGCCTAGAGAAAAGAAGGCTTAGGGGAGACCATGTCACCATGGTCCAGTATTTAAAGGGTAGCTAGAAAAAAAGAGACTCCCCATTTACATGGAATCACATGGAAAAGATGAGGGATAGCGGGCACAAGCTACTCCAGGGGAGATGCCAACTGGACACAAGAGGAAAATTTTCCACAATGAGATCAGCCATTGGAATAATCTCCCTGGGAAGTGGTGGATTCCCCAACGTTGGACACTTTTAAGATTCAGCTGGACAGGGTGCTGGGACATCTAGTCTAGGCCATGCTTTGATTGGGCCAGCTGATCCTTCAGGTCCTTTCCAACCTGATATGCTATGATTTATTATACCACTGTACTACCAGATCCACCCACCCCAATGCACAGTTGCATCAATCCTACGGCTACAAAATTAACTATCACCAGGACTAACCAGATCTGCCCTTCTCAGCTGTTCAGTTTATGCAGTGCTCATTTCTCACTTTCACCTCACCAATCTATCTGCAGTAACTATGCGACTGAACTCACTTCCCTGAAAACGCTCCCTCATGCCTCTTCCTTTCAAGAGAAGATAGGAGGAAAGCCTTTAAATCTTTACCAAATGCTGATTGTGCCTTTCAGTTGATTAGCTGGTGCACAAGCACAGTGGCAGCAAGCTTCTACAGCTGTGGGTCTCGCTTGCTTAGAAACTGCGCACTTGTATTCTTGCTGCATTCTTAAGTTACCTCTAGGTAAATGCTGAGGAAACATTCTCAGGCTCATCATACCCATATTCACCCAGATGTTTGACTGCTGTGTTCGAGTGGCAGGCTGCTGTCTCAGGAAGAGCAGATAGCGAGGAAACAGCTCGAGTTCAGGTACATTTGTTTTGCTGTTTTTGATCACCTAGTAGAGACGTTTAAAGCACATTTTAGAGGTTGCTGTTCACATGTGTAGGAGATCCCAGCAGGAACAGGAAATAATGATGAAAGCAGATGGTTAAAAATATAAACTCTGTTTTGCTATGATGAGAAATCTTCTGAACTTCTTAAGGGGTGTTAGGCAAATATCCACAGGAATAACAATTTACTCAATTCTAAGCACTTTTTGAAACTTATTAGTTGCAGACTTTTAAAAGCAAACATCTTATTTAGTGGAGCACAGATTCCTGTGCCACACCATGGAGAGAACAGTCTTTATAATTCCTGAAATATATGTGAATCTACAATGAAGTTCTTTAATTCTACTCAGTGCATATTCCACATAAAAGTTTCACAACTGTTGAAAAAACACATATGCTGAAGAAGGCACTTGTTCTGAACTTTAACTATAGGATTGAATTCAAACTTTCATATTGTAAGAACAGACTGAAACTTACTTCTGCTCCTTTTTTTTATGTTGACAGAAAAAGCTTTTCAGTCACCATTTCTACAATGATTTTGCTGTCTAGATCCAAATGTAGGCATACATAAATGGCAGGAATGTTCCTTATTTTTGTTTTAATTCTGCTCCATGTGAAGTAGAAGAAAACAGCTTAAGTTGTGAGAAGCACTATAATGCACTGAAGTGCCATGTATTAAGCTTCAGTTACAATAAGAACAATAGTGATGACATTTTCTGGAAAGAAGCAACATAATAGTCCCTACTGTGGGGCGGAGAGATGGGGACTGTGAGTGCCTCTATACATGGTTGCAAGTAACTAAATGTCAAACTATTCCTTAATTATGGCCTGAAAAGCTACAGTTTATACATACATTGTTTATAATCTTTTACGGACAGGATACCCAAACTCAAACTCTCTCATTCTGAACAGAATTCTCTTTTCCAATGACCCCACCACAAAAATCACATCAGTTCATGTATAAAGAGATACGGCCTTTTCTGGATCATGAAAAATGTTTGTTTCCATGGAGAAGGTGTGGGAGGAGGGTAACAGAAGCCAGTGATTTTTCACTGTAAAACACTTGCCAGTATTACAGCTAACAGACCAAATCATCAGAAGTCATACAGCTAATTCTCTCCCTTTTGTGACACTGAGTATTTGTGACACCAACTACTTAATCTCTATTGTTACCACCAAAAAAATCCCTTCACTTCCTTTTTTTCAGTGTAGCTCCTGTAAGAGGCTACCTGACACAGAATAAACCAACCACTACATGGAATATACTCAACAGAAATTGAAGGAAGTTCCCAATGTTTTTAAGCGAACAGACCAAATAACTTCCAGTTTTTCTGCCTCTAAGATCAGCCTGACTTTGATAAATTCAATATTAATAATTGACATGCCAGCTTTAGCTCCAAATGATTATGACCTGTTAATCGTTTTGCAGTATTACTCAGAGAGAAACAGAGAGACAGCTCAATAAATTGTGAGTAAATGATATGATTCAACAATGGCTATTGCTGTGTAATTACAGCTTCTCCATCAGAAATATGGTTGCTGTTTTAACTGCAACCAAAAAAGAGAAACTCTCTGCGACAACACAGACTGATGACGAGTCCACTTGGTCAATCCCACGTAATACACAGCACTTTCACATCTGAAAATTATATTCTGCAATACATTCTGCATTGTGCCCAAAATTAATTTTTAATTAAAGATATTACAGCTTGAACACAGGAAATACCAAAGTCAGTTCCAAAAAGCCGATTACAGTTCAAGGGTTTTTTCTTTTTTTAACTAAACTTTCCTGCAAACAATTGTTGCTTCTGAGCAACAATTCTGACAAAGAATAATTTTTGCCTGTTTTTGTTCACTGGCATCACTTACTGTTTTCTGCTTTTTAGATCTTCACCAAATCTTGTGCATTGTGTTTTCTATGACACTGAACTCAAAGAACAGCAACTGTTACCTTCCTCCCACTCCATGAAATTTAGGAGAGAAGAAATGCATTTTCAACACTGCAGGTGTCCCACTTTTAGTTTTAGTGGTTTTGCAGACCAGCTGAAAATTTATCTTAGCTTTTAAAGATGAGCGTTTTGATGCCAAGTCTTTTAATTTGATCTCAAGCTTACTTTTGTCTGCTTTAGTAATCACGATCAGATGAGCACCACTTTTGCCCCGTTGTGGTATCTCCTGGGGATTGTGGTACAAACCTCATGGTACATATCCACAACTTTCTACCCATGTCCATTTCTGAGACTACTTTTATCCCAGCTTGCTCTTCAAGGCTTTTCATTTACACCATCCATTTTGGATGAAATGGGAGATGACCGTAGAAGATTACCTTGTGCAACCAGCAGAGCTCAGACACATCAGGCTGTTTACATTATCTTGGTGGTTATGGCAAGCAAACTGTGCCTATAATCACAACTTACCGGCCTGGGCAAGGACAGATTTGCTCCATACCAATGGTAAAGTGCTCTCCAAACTGGTTCTGGTACCATTATGTAGTCCTTTCCTTCAATCAATTGTGGAGATCGTTTTAATCTTCCACCCTCCATTGTTAACGATGCAGCCTTTAAACAAAAAGGGATGTTGTCAAACCTTAAGTGGATAAAACAGTACACAGCTACAATGATTTTAGTTCAAAAAACACACAACACTTTGTAATTAATGAAAACAACTTTTAAGTAGTAATTAGCAACTGCTTTTCAGAATGAAAGCTGCTATAGAAATGTAACAATAATTAACACTCAGGTTTCACTATTTGCTTTCTCTAAAAGGCTGTCCAGTATAAAACCCATAATACGTTTCTCTCTTGTGTCACTTACACTGACAAATGCACACAGAAATCCAGTCCATGCTCATCGCTGACGGTGCTGGTCTGTGTTTTACATTCTGCTTGCATGAATACTGGAACAACTGTCAGTTTTGCTTTACTATTTTGTTACCTGTATTCTGGGTTTATGCAACAGCAATAAACTCCTATTTAGACTGAAAGCATTCAGTGTTTAATTATTAAAATAATTAATACTGAAAGTCGTTTAATTTTTGAGTTTTGTTTAAGAACATTTTGAATGTTTCTCTTCACACAAAGCATTTGATTGTAGCCTCAGAAGTAGAACGTATTTTTCTCCTCTTAAAGTAAGAGTAAGAAACCCAGATTTTGTTACATGACAAAGCAGTGTTAGTTTAGAATTAGGCCACTAGCTGAAAACAAAAAAGAAATAAAAGGCTGTGATGAAAGTATGCTAAAAGGTATTTTTCCTATATTCACATGACTCAGATGCATTTACCTTCACTGGTTCTTGTGTTACTAGGGGTTGGTTATCAATAGCTCCTGGTTTCTGAGGATTCAGCTGTAGCAAATTATTCCCATTGGTTCCAAGGAAACACTGGTTATTATTGTCCGAAGTATTATGCTGCCTAGCAAAATCAGTCCCTGGTGTGCCAGGGTGAAGATTATCTGTAATGGAATACAGGAGAAAACAAACAAACCCAAACAACTCTATTTCAGTTCATGACTCCATAAACCATAAAGGAATGAGTTGAACACTTGCACCCTTTTTTGTTTGTCTTTAAAAAAGGTTGCTGATGAAGCTTTTATCCTTCATACTTCAGCAAAACATGCAACTCTTCCAAACTACAGTGACATACATGCTATTACTCTCAGAAAAGGTAAAGAAGTGGATGTACAAGATCCAAATACCAAAGCAGATGCTTAGACAAATAATGGTTTGAAACAGCCTAACTAGGTTTGTGTGAGTAAATGTGTTTAGCATTTACTTGTTGTCTGGATGTTTGAGTATCAAGCTCTTGAAAACCTTACATGCATAACTGAATACATATATATGCAATAACAACTTATTTTTAGTTTTTCCTCCTTGAAAAGGCAAATGTTTTTATTTCACAGAATCTCCTTTGGTTATGCAGAACACTAAATTAAACAGAAGCAGCAAGAACCTTTAACATAAAACTTGTCTCCCTTCCTGTCCTTCGTCCATCTGCCCTCACCCCCACACCAGATACAGTCCCAGTAATTTATCTACTTTAAATGAACATTCAGCTGCCTCATAAAAAAGAAATTAACACCTCAAATTCTCACAAGAACTGACTGAAAATTATCACTAAAATCTCTTCTTTCACAAAGATGGCTCCGAAAATCTGCACGCTCACTTGGATCACGTGTCCTGTAAAACTCAGTGTGCTTTTCCTAACTTTTTTTCTGCTTCTTTCCTCTTTGTAGTATCCGAGGTCATCTCATGGCAAGACACAGTAAAATGCCAGCTGGGTATGAGCTACAAACAACTTCATGTGAAGAGTGGACAAAAAGTCCGCTCACAAAGTAAGTGCTAGGACAAAAACTTGGAAATCTTGAAACAATTCTGAAAACTAATCATAACATAATAGATGAATTGTTGTTTAAACAAGGCTGTTTCTTGTTTATCCACCACACACTATAAAACCCTGTAATTCACCAATGTCCATGTGAAAGCCATTTCTGCAATCTAAACTGTTATCTCTTCGCCTGGAGGAATCCATGCAGTATGTAGTTTTCTCAAAACCTGTTCTACATTAAACCTCCAAGGAAATAAGATGTTATGCTTACTGCTGCTAGTAGTCTCTGAGGCTTCTGATGCAGTAGAAATATTATCTGAACACTTTTCTTCTGTTGCACTGAAGTAATTAAGACCTCCCATTTTGTCTTCTCCCTGTTCTGAAGCATTGGCTGGAGCAGCTACGAGTGAATTCTTACCTCCACTCAAGACAGATGAAGGCTCTATCACAACAGGGTTTGCATCCTAAAATTGGTGGGCAAGTAGAAAAGTTAATGATAAGCCAGTACCAAAGATATTCAGCATCAGCCAAACCAAGCACCAAAATTGACAGCTGTGTGACCACTTCTGCGTATCACAAGGAGCTTTATAGAAAAAATAAAGTAAAATTCTACATGTCCAGAAACAAACAGCCAAAATGGTTAAACCAATCAAATAAACTCTTCAGTAGAATATAAAAATTGCAAAATACCAGAATTAATTCCTCTATCTCAATACATGAAAAGACAACCATTTTCGACAGCTATAATTACAGTCTACAAATATACGAAGATTTGTCCTTGTTGAATTTCATATAGTTAAATGAGAACACAAGCAAACAACAAAAACACTCTTT